GAGTCTCCTATAAGAGAAAGAGAGATAGTCTATTATAAAATCCAGAATTTTGTTATTAATTTACAGAAAAATGCGCTGGTCAAAAAATCTGAAAAAATTTACATAAAAGCATGCTTTGTAGATAAAGCTATGTTCCAAATTTCAAGCAATTCTTAACATATTGCATTCTCCTTACAACCTCCTTAATCGGGATTGAACGTCGTCTCGTGAACTCCAAATTAACATGCAATTTATTGTACTTGCTGTACAACTGCTGCTGCTACTGACGTATAACAAATATAACGTGATTACCAATCAAGATGGCATGCATTCAATGCATTCGTCCAACTTTCAATGATGCTCTTCAATCTTTGGCCGAATAATTGAAACCTTTTTGATTAGAGAATGTTTTTATATACATATATAGTGAATCATAGATCTGTTGTATTTTCAGTTTTATAGATACATTTTTCATAAATCATAAATATTTTATATAGGTACATACATACGCATGCACGCACACCTATCATTGCTTTGATGAACAATTTTAGAAAAAATAAATAATTTTATTTAAGTAATTATTATTTACGACTTATTAATTTACAACATTACATATATTGTATATTTTGATGATTTAATCATTAAAATATAATATTTCTGATAAAGTAGAAATATGATATTTCTATAATCAAAATTTTCTAAAAAATAATTGTTTCTTTTATATTGATGATTCCACAATTTATATCTTATGTCATATTTATATGTCTTTAATGTTAAATAATATGTATGTTTAGATGCGCTTTAATGTAAAATATTTTTGTAATAACTTTACAAACTACAAAATGATAATTATCTAAAAATTTATAAGATTTAAAATATTATTCGATTTAATTTAAAGGTGCCTCCAGATGATATAGCCAACATTAACAAATATCATATGCATACATGATATACATAATTATTCATATTGAATGTAGTCAATATTTAACGAATGTGTGCAAAGTTGGCCTCTACTAAGGCTGTCCAATTTGAGCTCCGGAACCAAAACGCAAAGCCATCGACGTACAAAAATTCAATGTGAGCAAGATTTTAGCAGGGAATGGAAGTAACTCGTTACTTGTTA